GGATTTATTTCAGATTTTTACATCAATTACAATTTTATTAATACGGAAAACCTAACTTCATTTTCAACTCTGCCAGCCATAAATCCATCAATACCGAACGGATTTCATTCAAATTTTAAAAATAAGTAGATATTATCAATAATTTGTTAAGGGATTTATTTCAGATTTTTACATCAATCACTTTTTTATTAATACGGAAAACCTAACTTCATTTACAACTCTGCCAGACATAAATCCATAAATACAGAACGGATTTCATTGAAATTTGAAAATTAAGTAGATATTTTCACTAATTTGTGGACGAATTTATTTCAGATTTTTACATCAATTACTTTTTTTTAATGCCACAAAATACTGAAACTTGACCCAACGTGCGAGGTGAACGTGAAGTTAGGTTTCCGTATTAATAAAAATGGAATTGATGTAAAAATCTGAAATAAATTCATCCACAAATTATTGATAATATCTACTTATTTTTGAAATTTGAATAAAATCCGTTCATTATTGGTGGTTGGCAGAGTTGAACGTCAACTTAGGTTTTGCATTCGAGTGCGCATCAGGCCAGTTCGCCGGCGAGTTCGCTGAAGTATCGATCGATTCGGTCTTCCGAAGCGTCTTTCCTGCACAGCAATCAATTCTGAAAAACAATGATTGGTGGTGGCTTTTGCCCAACGGAGCCTCGTGGCGAATCTCATCTATACTTGATTCTTCACTAGTAAACACATGATCTAGAATAATTGGGGGTCTGTTTACCCCTAAAATGGGTTGGCTTGGTGATGTTCTGGATTAAAAACGAGTCTCGCACAGACTCCAAGAACAGGGATGCTTGGTGATTCCCATCTCTTGGAGAAGTTTCATCTGCCCAGTCTATTTCTGAATGGTTAAAGTCACCAACGATCAACGTATGCGACCTGCTGAAAGCTATGCTCGGTGAAAGGATGTTTAGTACTTTATTGTTATCAGAGGAACTGTTAGGTGATCTATAAATGACCCCTATGAGGAGGCTATCTTTGCCTTTTAGAGTAAGTTCGCACCACACTGATTCTCTACTGCTCTTCATTCAAGTTATGAAAACAATCAAAACCTGGCAGCTGAAATTCAACGGGTACAATTTTCCCACTGTGATTTTTAGGGAGTGTTTCTGTAATACAAATAATGTCTATATACACTCGTTTGCAATCACAGTTGACTGTTCACTTTTTTTGTTCAAAACGGAATCCGAGTTCGTGTAAAAACATTTCAAAACTTTTTGTGCACTTTCACTTTAATGTATGAGGTTACTTCCTGCATTATTTACAGGCCTTAATCTACGGACATCATCGAGCATCCGAACGATAACCGGCGACACGGCTGCACGCAGTGGCGACCAACACGAACGCTAAGCAGGTTTTGAAGCCTACGGGTATCCACACAGTGAAAGCAGGTTGCCAGCGTGCTGGTTACCTGCTGAGGAGGGCGCCGGAAATTGAAATAAATAGGTCTGGCGCTGGCCTATTCGTACAAGTTTTCTCTGTGAACACTTACATTATTATCCTATGTTCATTCATGTGGCAGGTTGGAGCAGGTTGCCCGCACGGGCAAACCTGCTTTCACTGTGTGAGTACCATACGGGTCGACACAGGCCGATATTCAGCAGCAGCATTCGTAGACATAGAGTTCGTCGCAAATGATTTCCGCCGTAGCAACGGCCTAGTGCCAGTGATGACGAAGACACCGTTGTCGCGCACTGCTCGATAAGTGGCAGCAGGACGAGTATTATGGCTGGCACGGCATGCACAAGTCATGCGAGGCGTGATGAGTAAATCGAGTCGCCTGCCGGAGACCACCACTGCCCTGGATGTAATGGACCATCATGATTCCTGCCTTCCGGAACGTAGCCTTCAACACTTCAAGCCGTCCGTATCTAGGCCGTGGGTCGAACCAGCCCTCGGTCGAACGGCCACTTGTTAAAGGACGATAAATTTTGGAACAGAACTATGCTATCTGAAACCTAACCTCAGATGCGGTGAACGTAATTTAGCGATGCCCGGAAGTTAGATTCGATCCGCGGTCAGGTGGTGCACGGCAGGTTCTATGTGAGGCCGGAGGAAGACAAAGCCGAATGGTTCACGGCTGATTGGTGGATATCCGGAGAGATCCAAGGCGTTCGATTCAGGGCTTATTGTTGCACAAAATTGGTGGTGCACGCGGCTGCGCTCCCAGTAAATCTACTCTCCGACAGACGGATGGATCAAGGGCTGCAGCAGCTGACCACTGGCCGAGCAGTCGTGAAGCGCCGAATAAGCTAACGGCGCCATGAATAGCAGCCAGATTAAGCTTGGGACATAAAGCAGTAACACACGTCTACAGTCACCTCAAAGCTGAATATAGTAAAAGCCAAAACGAATAATCACAATATTGTTCCTCCAATAAAAAATTTGACTACATGAAATAGACTTCGAACGTTTATTAGTTTTTTCAACATGACAAATGAGTGCGCGTTGTATGACTGGAACTCACTTGACTGAGTAGAGCACGCGACCTGCTGCTCAATTTAGTTTTTTTTTTGGTGGGTGAATATTGCGTTTAGTTAATTATAGTTACTGTTGTTATATTTCGACCTGCACCCTTCTGTAAATTGGTCATTGGTATCTCATTCTTCCGTAACATAACCGCAGAACTCATTTTGGGGTGAGAGTGGAGTGGCTTTCTATTAGGTAACTTGATAGATATCTGCATAAATTCAACACTGCTATTTAGTCCTGGACAAATATTTCACAAAGATGTGTTATGGTAAGCTAAGACATTTTAGATTAATTAACTTGAGATCTTGTTCCTTATAACTTTCAAAAGTTCACTGAAAGTAGAGAACCTATACAAAGTGATTGGGATATGCTTCTGTAAAATAGATGTGTATTGAACCATAAAAATTATGCACCTCTGTTTCATTCTTTCGTATGGCTTCTAATATTCCTATTTGAATAATCGAGGTTGTAAGGGGACATGTAATCAATCTTAAAGCGCATGACTTAAATATTCCTGATCTCGAATATTGTTTGTGTAATATTATGAACACGGACATCTAAAATTATAAAATATTGTTCACGTATTTTCCCCTGTTTTTAAGAGGAAAATAAGATCACGTATTCATTTGTTAAATGTACGTTCTCGTTTCAAAAATTTTGATCGAATACATATCTTATTCACAGCTTCCGTCACTTCACTTGTAGCCAAGATGCTTACTTTTTTAACTGAAAACCAGCAACTTGGTTTAAAAAGTTTTCATAGTTCATCAGGTTAAAATTCCTGGTAATATAGATCTAAAACTTTATTCAAATTTCTGACAATGCAAGTAATGCCTCGTGCAAGTAGGAAGCTTTTTGAAGGTGGAAAAACAATGCCAGGGGAGGTAGTTTGGGCGTATGCTAGATACACTCGATCTACATATGAACTCACTGCTCCGCGCACTCTGGAAAATTTCACCATCGGTGGTGTTTGGAAGCTCGACTGCAGATTTCGGAATCGCAAAGGATAGTTTGGATATTATCAGTAAGCCGAAGATGCCGAAACCTGTCACCAAAGAAATGATCACAGAGTAACAGGCTTGTGGACGTCTGGTTTTGGATGCTGGAATCGACTTCTTGGCGTAGCCTGCAACTCCACCATGCCCCCCTCGGCCCAACGCCTTCACGTAATTCATGCAGAAAATATTCGGCAAAGATTGCAAAGAAGGTCGCAAGGAGAAAAATAAATCGTGCGCGAAATCAAAAAATAAGTGTAATGAGACTGAGGCAAAGTCGACGAAAATTCCACGCAAGAAGGGTAGCAGCAGCAGTTCATCATTATCAACTTCCAACGATCGTTGCTCAAGTTCACTAGATAGGCACGATGGAAAAGGCTTTACAGGTCCGTGTTGTCTAAAATTGCGCAATTGTGCAACAAACTCACTGAAAACTAACATGTATCCAGAGACTGATCAGACATCTCTTATGCAATGCCTAGCTCAGAAGGAACCTGAATAAGAAAGCTCCATCAACTAACAACCCCAAGCCCGCAACTTGCGATAGAAAATTCCCAATCTCATCTTACGATCACGGTACTTCTCTTCGTCGAACATCGAAGAATCCAGTGATTTTTCGAAAACTTTGTTGCTGCCAAATGAAAATGACTTAACAGTCGTGTTCGACATCACTTCATCAAACGAATGTCTCCGAGTTTCTTCAGAAAATTTGACAACTTAGTGGAACGCCCGAGATTTGAACAAGGAATCCATGAAAATAAATCCAGAGATATAGAAAGAACATGACGGGTTCTCGTCGAGCTTATGACTTCAAGCTAAGGGAGGGATTTTGGATCAATCTTGTCAGATTGACAACGTTAAATGGTGAAGAAAACATTCGTGAGCAGATGGATTATTTTTCGTTTTGAAGCTGTAATATTTGTTCGTTTACACCCAGTGTTCCCAATTCTGAAAAAATGTTCTTTTTTGCAGTAGAAGTAAATAAATTTGTATCTTCTAAAAGTTTTATGTGTTTTAATGTTGAACTTTTTCGTTGCTTTGGTTCTTTATCTTAAGAACCTCTACCAAGTTTTACTGGACGCTTTTTGCTTTTGTTTTTGCTCAATTTGGTGGAGGCTTGTAGCGAAATTAGAAAAAAATAATATAATTAGACGATTTGTGCCAGAGCAGGAATTAACGCTTTAATTTATGCAGAAACTTGAGGAAAAATCATTCTATAACGGGAACTCCGTCGCCTATGATATGGAGGTGCAAATTTCTAATAGAGTTTTCCATCAACTCAATGCGTTCAACTACTAGGAAAATTAGTGACCAAAATAGAATGGTTCCCGATCAAATTAAAAATCAACAGTCGATGTATATGTATGATAATCTGAAAAATATACAAATGTATTTCAAGCAAATTATCCCGTGAAAAGTGGTTTATTCATCCGAAATCTTTAACGTTGTTTCAACTCCTCATGCTTAGCCATGAGGTGTGATTTCAGGGTAAGGTATCATTGTGTGTGACAGGAGCGAATGACGTGAACGCGGAACTTCCATGCTTCAGGAAATCGAGGGTTTGGAACTCTGAAGTCCCACTCCTTAATTAAAGTGATTAACAATTATAACTCAAAACTCGGTCGTGGGGCCGCATTGGACTGGCCTTCAGAGGCCCCCGCAAATTTGAAACAAAAAAATAAGTCCCACTCCCATCAGGCCATGTCCGTCGTGCTCGTGCAGTTGCATTTTCGTGCATCTTGTGACTTGTATATATTGCTTCTTTGAGCCGTGAGGTACATGGGAATGGGACGACTCCACATTCTCAAAAAACGGATCAACCACCACTCCACCAGCAAATGTGTTTATTAGTCAAATTATTAATTGTAAATCAAATAAATGGGTTGGTTCAGTTCATTTTTCATAGAGGATTTTGATATTCCAATCGATACAATTTCCAAGGATGGAAGTGTTGAAACACCTCCAAAACCTGTTGGCATTGATGGCATCAAAGCAATGTTATCACATGACCCAATAGGAGGTCCTAGTCCTCAACTGACTATTGTGAGTATTTATTTTTGTGATGCAAATGTTTAGTGTGAGTCATAGTGGCAAAGCAGAGGGTTTTTTTACTTTTAGACTCTCCCTCAAGTTCATTTTTGTGTCCTATTGATAGACCAGTAAAGTATCCTGGATACAGCATTATTATACTTGAGAAGTTGAGAAATTGGTTTAAATCTTCAGTAAATGAGGAAATTAAAAATGAACTGATTCTAAAAAAGCCCTGGTTTGCCACTATGGTGTGAGTATAGGTATATACTCACACTAGGTATAGAGCTGTAAGCCTGTAGGGTAAACGCGGTATATTCTGACATTGTGGGTAATTCTGACACTTTTCGACTTTTTTCCTTTATAGGCTAGCTATTAAGCTTTTTCTTAGTTCCATGCATTTGTTGATGGTTGAAATATTGATGTCATAGTACTTTTGTGCACTTAGTATCCTTATCCTTAGTATTTGTTTGGGACACAGCAGTCCCAGGCCATGATGGATCGCCGCCTCTGATTATCGTTCATCCGCCCTCATTTGGGCCACCTGATGCACGATGCTGTTGCTTGCTTCTCGCTGCTGGTAGTGTTGCAGGGGAGGTCGATCTGGGATTGTGCTCAGGAACCACTATGCAGAGAGTGATAAAGATTTGAAAGATATTCGGTGACGAATTAGCAGACAAATTTTCTTCTTCGAAGATCTTGCCGACGCCATTTACCAATCTTACCGAAGCTTCGGCGAGTCAGCCAACCTTCCAGAAGCTTCGGCGACACTGCCAACGATGCTTTCTGTGAGGCGACGTTTTCCGCAGAAGCAGAACGGAAGAAAAACGAAAGAACAAAACACCAATGAGCTGCCTCAGTCTGTGGCATCCAGCTGACCAGCGTACAGCTCCAACTGATCAACACATTTGGCAACCTTCTAGAACCTTCGGCGACGATTTTCTCTAATCTTCAGCAAGGCAGAGCAGAAGAGAGTACACTGAAACACCACTGGCAACAGTGTGAAATAAAATCTTCAGCAACCTTATTTAATTTATTGTTTCACTTTAAATGCTTTACCAACACATTTTTAGCATAATTGTACAAGTTTACTCTACTACCGTAAAATGGGGTAACTTAGACCACTTTCTTTTTTATAAATGATGCTATTTTTTTACTAGCTAAATTAAACTTGAATTGAAACATGCAAAATACAGGTCTATACTCTAGCTTCACTCACCATAAATTGCTGGCTCCTGCCTCTCATAGTCTTTATGTAATCTAAAAAAAAGTGATGGTCTTTGTTACCCCAGCTCCTGGGGTAACTTAGACCAGGTGGTAAAATCAATTATATTTTTTGGTAAAATAACTCCAAATAACTCCAGGTTTTGGTGCATTGTAGTAGAACTCTTCTAGTTACATATGCAAATGACAAATTTTAGGAAAGTGTCGTAGTTTGCAAATGGGGGCGCCACCCCATAATGAAGGAAATGTGACTACCTAATGGCAGCCCTGATGGGGTAAATATTGACTGGCTTGGAAATTAAGCTAAAATTACCATATACAAGACTCTGTAGCCGGTCTATGTTACCCCGTCAGGGCTGACATTAGGTGGTCTAAGTTACCCCATTTGGGGACGGCGCCCCCCATTTGCAAACTATGACACTTTCCTAAAATTTGTCATTTGCATATGTAACTAGAAGAGTTCTACTACAATGCATCAAAACCTGGAGTTATTTAACCAAAAAATAAAAAAATTGGAGGGGGAACTCTGACAGGCATTAAATAATAGCTTTTTTTCATGGGAACCATTTTTAATTTTTTAACCTATTAGATATGCAAACTTTTCAAAACTTTCTATTGTGTTATGTAGCCTCAGTATTAGGCCTTTAATGCCCATTGACAAAATTTTTCTATGTCAAATAGTTTTTGAGTTGTGGGGGTTTTTGTTATCTGATTGTTCATCAACACTCCTAGATCGCGAACGAGTCGCTTCTCTTCGATTTCCGAGTTGTCAGGTGCCAGGTAGCAGTGATCCATTCCAGCTCTTCCAGTTCCTCTGTACCTCAGGACCTCAAACTTGGTCCCGTTGAACTGCATGTTGTTCACTAGGGCCCAGTCATATATTGCAGAGAGGTCTTCTTGTAACCTCTCACTGTCCGTCCTGTCCGTGATGGTCATTAATATCCTGGTGTTGTCCGCGAATGACGATGCAGTGGCATGGTTCACTGCCGCATCTATGTCGGCGATGTGGATGAGGAAAAGGATTGGGCCGAGTACCGTTCCCTGTGGTACTTCACCATACTATTGCCAAAACACTAGGTCTGGGCTCATAGTGACAAAGTAGAGAGTTTTTTAGACTCTCCCTCCCATGGTCAGGAAGGTGCAGCGTGTACGCCGGAGGTTCGTTTTCGGATGTACGCCAGTACGCCAGGGAAGAAAGTTGCCAATATGCTTGCTAAAAACGGAAGTGTAACCCTCGCCAATGCTGCATGATCGACACAGGCACACGTACTTTACGATTGATGCCTGGCCATCGTCACAAACACGTGCTTTACGTTATTTATATTACTGTATCCATGGACTGCAAGCTTCATATCAGCTGTCCACTGCAAGCAGTGTGGAATTCCAGAGGGGTAATATATTAACTGGTAAAAATAGCAAATCGGAAAGCAGGACCTAAAAATCTGGAACGTTCAGCACACTTCCACTTTCAGTCCATCATCATCACTGATGAGTCTCTGCAAGTCATGTTTATCAAAAATAGTTTTTAAAAGAATATATTATTGTACATAAGTATATATGGAGTATTTTTGTCAAAATTTTTATCTTTTGCTCAAAATAGCCATTCTAAATTGTTAGCTTGTTTTAATGAGAGAAATATTGTGTACCGTCAAACGGGGTAAAAAGGTACAGTTTTGAGCATTTTTTGTTAATAACTTCTTACCATTAAACATTTCAGAAACAAGTTTAGGCTCATTTTATAGCTCTTTGCGAGGGCTATCCAATGGCATCTTCAAAAAAATTCCATATGCTATTCGTAAGGTGCCAGACGCAAAATAAAACCGTCCCGATTTACCCCTGGGAACGGGGTAATCTGGGACACTTGCAATAAAAGTTAATTTTAAAACGTTTGAAGCATGCAGAGTGTACTCATCCATTACTAACAGTATTTTGAAGTCCTCTTCTTTCATTGTAGTTGATGTAGATGTAAAATAAATGATATTTTCTGTGATTTTTACTTGTATTTCCTTTATCAATAGTATATTGCCATATTCATTAATTACCGTATTATTTATGTGATATTACTGTATCCATGGACTGCAAGCTTCATATCAGCTGTCCACTGCAAGCTTCATATCAGCAGCCATGTAGCATTTCATCTGTATCTGGAAGCTTACAGGATGGTTTGTAATTTCGCACAATTTTAAATGAGTCAAGTGATTTCACTATAACAAAAAAGATCGTGAAAAACATACCTGAAAGAGAAAATAATGTTTTAGTGACAACCATAATATGTTTTGGAGAAATAAATCATAGTTTAGGTCAATTAATTTTCATTCCATGATGCCCGGTGCACAATTCTATATATAGCATTCTATGTACAATTTTGTAATGACCGATGATGCACTAATTTTTCAATAAGTGTATTTTTTCGCTGAGCGAGGTAAATGAAATCAAAATTCTTTGTTGTTAATCAATTTTTTTGTTAACTAGAACCTTTGCTAACTGAGGTTTTACTGTAAATGCATTTTTAAGGGTGTCCCTAATTACCCCGGGGGATGTCCCAAGTAGCCCCACCATGCGGAAATAGCTGCCTTTTTTTTGGAACGAGATAGGACAATTCCGTCAATTACCTTTTCAAGCCGACACCTGGGTGCAACTTTTATGTAAGTAAAATTTTTTAATATGGCAAATATTTTTTTTGCTCCAGACCTTAGCAGAGGTACTTTTCCAAAAATGCACTTTTCACATTTTTTTCAGCATTTTTTAGAGAAAGTAAATGTTTGATTTCTTGACTGGATTTATACATAATAGATAGTAAAAATGTTGAAGTTTACGCCACTATTTTTAGTTTTGCAATATTTTGATTAGTTTAGCTGCTACAACATTTCTACAAAATGTGGGACGCGCGTCCCAATTTACCCCGCCCGTCCCTTTTTACCCCATTTGATGGTACTATTGTTTATTGGGCTATGTTTGAAGAAGTCAACCATAAATGCAGTTAGCAAAAAACACATGATATCTGACACTTCAGTTATTATCCATTGGTTTTATTACCAATTTGATCAATTTTTCAGTGATTTGAGGGTTGCCATTAAACCACAATGCATTTTTAATCTTGGCAAAACAGGCTTTCTGACAGACATATCAGAGATTGAAACAATAGTTGAAAACTGAGAGTGACACATGATTCAAACAGAAAACACATTGTGTCAGCAGCAGTCTGTGCAGATGGAAAAGAACTTCACTCCCTTATTGCATTCAAAGGAAAACAAATGCAAACCATTAAGATCTTAAGATCTTTATCTGCAAATTTGTTGAAATAACAAAAATACAAACATTTTTTAGCTGATTTTTGAGTTTCACAGAAGTTATACAACACCTGAAATGTTGAATTAGCAGCCAAAAATCAAATAACTAACCCCAAACTGCTACCATACTGCGCAGATAGTCTTCAAACTTTGGATGTGACAAGCTTGGCTTCTTGGAAGCCTAACTATGAAAAATTGTATTAGAATTCATGCCCCATCACAAGGGGGATTTGTGAGCATGTGTTAAGCTGTGTGTCAGACAGGCCTTTCTGAAAAAATATTAATGCCGCTTCTGTATGAAAGTGATTCATCTTCTGAAATTGTAGAAGTATGACTCTTCAAGGCTGGATAAAAATTTTGAAATGTATATCATTCCTGACTGTGGACCAAAAAGCTAAAAGAAGTGAATGGCAGTCCAATCTGTTAACCTTCATGTGCAGAAAAAGAAAATGAGCTACTTGGAAATGAGTACAATGTTCCCACAGCAGGAGGAGACATGTGGTCCTGATATTATGAAGAGAAGAAAGAGAGAGAGCAGTAGAGGAAGCCAAAAATACAGTGAAAAGCATATTGCAGTAACAGAATAACTGGCAGAAGCAAATAGACTGAGACAAATAAACAATGATGTCTTATATATTATATATCTTATATAATAGGCAATATATACTCATATCTTATATATGAATCAAGCATTAAAATGAACACAATAAATAAATTAGACAACTGGAAGACCTCCAACCTAAAAGGACCTAAAGAAATGTTGGAAAGAACTATACTAAAATGTAACCAATGACATAATGGCTGACTATCAGGTCATATAACAGACAATGACACTAAGTAGTGGAATATACATGTAGCATTTAGCAGGGCTCTACAATGAACCAAAGCCAACTTACTATTAGGGCAAGCTCAACAAAGTTTTCTTGTGACAAAAATTCCAGTGTGACTGATATTAGAGTTGACTTCCTGCAACACAAAACAGTAACAAGTGGTTGATTTATCAAATAATGTGTTTCTAGATGGATAATATTGAATACAGCAATCCCTTGATTAACGCGGTTAATAAATCCCCGAGTTTTACCGTGTTAAGCAAAACCGCGCTAATCAAACTTGAGAATATATGGGAATAATTATAATGAATCCTCAAAAATAGCAAAGGAAAGGAAAATTATGTACATAGTTTGATAAAAGTGAGCAGTAGATATGGCAGCGATCTTGACCAGTTAAAGGCTAACGAGTAACTAGCCCTTTACGCACTGAATCATGTTTTGAAAGTGAAAAAACAATCTGAATTACTTTTCAGATCACGCGCAGTCTTTGTGTTAAACTGGCAGTAGCGACGCGCCTACTGCATTGAACGTCGTTCGAACGAGTTCACAACATGTGACGCTACCGTCACACTCGCGGCTAGACTCCAAACATGTAATTACTCTCGGTAGAAGCTTTTATTTTCTGTGTGACAAATTCGTCACACAGGGCTAGAGCACCGGCATGGCGCACTTACCGGCGAACGTTGCCGAACTCGATCATTCGAGTTATGAACGAGACAACGCGCGGTTAAACCGACTCTGTAGTCAGCACAAGTTCCTACGGAACGGGACCTTATTTAAAGAATTATTGGCTGAAATTCATAAAGTAACAACATTTGGCGAATTTTTCCAAAAGTCGTAACAAAAGTAACAACATAAGATCTAATAAGCAAAAAGTAACACTTTTGTTACGAACGTAACACCTCTGGCTAGAGGCGGGAAAATGATGCGTTGTGAAAAAAAAGTCGCGCTAATCAAAACTGGCACCGCGTAGATTAAGGGTAGGTCGCAAATTTTTTTTCCGCGTTAATCAAAACCGCGGTATTCAAAACCGTGCTAATCAAGGGATTGCTGTATCTGGTTGGCACTTTTTTTAAAAATCTTGTAACATTAGAATTGCCAGTTGGTTCTGTCTTACCCCAGCCAGTGCTCACTTTTTTTTAATCTGTACTGAAAACTGTATTATATGCAAAAAAATCTGAGTTGTAGCTTAGAAGCCCATTGCATAAATACACTTTGTGCTAGGTTTAGAGTTTTTTAGTTATCCGTGGTATATATGCTACATGCTTGTTAGTGGTTTTGGTCCTGTCTTCCCCCATCTGACTATATGGGTGTTTCATATCAACACCAGGCAGAGTGGCCCATTGGTTACAGGTTCCATTATTGGATAATTGGCTACAGGTTCCATTATTGGATAATTAGTTCCATTATTAGATAATTGGAGCAGAGAGGCGTGGGTTTGATCCCAGCTCTCTGCGCTAGTAACTACAGTCAAACCGGGTAATAAGGGATGGTTTTGAGCGTTTTTTGTTAATAACTTCTTACCATGAAACATTCACAAACAAATTTAGGCTCATTTTATAGCTCTTTGCGAGTGCTATTGAATGTCATCTTCAAAAAAATTCCATATGCTATTCGTAAGGTGCCAGACGCAAAATAAAACAGTCCCGAATCACCCCTGGGAGCGGGGTAATCTGGGACACTTGAAATAAAACTTAACTTTAAAGTATTTTAAACATGCAGAGTGTACTCACCTATTACCAGCAGTACTCCAAAGTCCTCCTCTTCCTTTTAGATGTAACAAACAACAAGGAGCTTAACAAGCTTCTTTAGGGAGTGACCATTGCATTGAGTGACCTGGATGTTAGGAGTTCTGCCTAATATCCAGGCTGTTCTGGTCCCAAAGAAGATTTTTAAATTTTTGCTTAAATGTGAAATTTAAGCGAAAATCTTTGTGATTAACCTGTATTTATTTTAACTGTGGCCTTCGCTAACAGAGGATCTGCTGGAAATGTGTTTTAGGGTTGTCCCTAATTACCCCAGGGGTTGTCCCTAATCACCCCAGGGGGGTGTCCCTTATTACCCCGTCATGTGGAAATGGCTGCCATTTTTTTTAATGAGATTGGCAAATTCCGTCAATTGCGTTTTCAAGCCAACACCCGTGTGCAACTTTTATGTAAGTAAAAATTTTTAATGCGGCAAATATTTTTTTTGCTCCAGACCTTAGTAGAAGTACTTTTCCAAAATCGCACTTTTCACACTTTATTCAGCAATTTTCTGGAGATAGTAAATGTTTGATTTCTTGACTAGCTTTATAGGTACATAATAGATATTATAAATGTTGATGTTTTTGCTGCTATTTTTAGTTTTGCAATATTTTATTTAGTTTAGCTGCTTCAACATTTCTACAAAATGTGGGACGCTTGTCCCGATTTACCCTGCCTGTCCCTTTTTACACCATTTGACAATAGTTTATGGTCAGAATCAACGAGGAGGCCAGGCAGTTAAGCAATGCAAATTGGAGCAGTGAGTTGCAAGTTTGAGACCAAAATGAGCTGTGAATGTTCTGCAATGTTGAGAATAAATAAATACCGTAAAATGGGGTTACTTAGACCGGCGGGGTAACTTAGACCACTTTTCGTTTTTTTAACAAAAACCCCCACAATGCCCCCCATTTGCAAACTATGACACTTTCCTCAAGTTTGTCATTTGCATATGTAACTAGAAGAGTTCTACTACAATGCTCCAAAACCTGGAGTTATTTGGAGTTATTTTACCAAAAAATATAATTGATTTTACCACCTGGTCTAAGTTACCCCAAGAGCTGGGGTAACAAAAGACCATCACTTTTTTTGAAATTACATAAAGACTATGAGAGGCAGGAGCCAGCAATTAATGGTGAGTGAAGCTAGAGTATAGACCTGTATTTTGCATGTTTCAATTCAAGTTTAATTTAGCTGGTAAAAAAATGGCATCATTTATAAAAAAAAAGTGGTCTAAGTTACCCCATTTTACAGTACTGAAAATATTATTATTATATATATAAAATTGATCCAGCCTGGCAACTTGACCAGTTCAAATTCTTAGCTAAATTTAAAATAAAAGTATACTCTCAAATTTTTAGATCAAATATGATGTGTGCACTTGTTCATATATTACCTTTCATGATTTCTATGCTTGCAAGAAACCACATACAACAATGAGATCATTTTCTATATAAAAATCAAGGCAGGAGCATGACCTGAATATTAAAATTCCAATTTTTCTTGAAATGATACTTATGAGCCAAAAGACTTTCCATCAAGCTGAAATACATTGCTTGACAGCTGTAAGATTAAAATATAACAAAATCACATCATTTTTGAGCTGGAATGTTTAGCACTTTGCCATGAAGCAGCCCCATTTGGTTATGTGCATTCAATTGTGATTTTAATTTTTTTCAATCTGCAGTGGTGTTTATATTTCACAATTAGAAATTGCTGCATATTTTTAAACAAAAGCCAAGTCTTATCAATGCATAAATCATCTTATCAGCTTGAAATACCTAGTTAATAAATTTCTTTTTTATTTTGCTTATCCACTTAGCTACCCTAAAGTCTACCTCATTTGTTTTCTACAAAATGTTGTTAAAGAAGTTGCATTGAATTTACTAGATATTTTTTAAGCATTTAAATCTATCTGTAATTTGATTATTGTAGCTGTTTCATTTGATATTTTTACATTAATTTTTTTCACATCATGATATTAGTTCACAAAAATTTTAAATGTTCCCAGATTAAGGAGGTGACATTCATGGGAGGTTTCTACGCAGCATTGTTTGGCGGTGTAACTCATGCTCAGGATGCTTACATTAGGTTTTTAAGGACAAATCAGGCAACACCATTTGAAAATCCACACACAGCCAGGCGCTTGATGTATGATCGGGTAAGTAATGAACTGTGCTAGAAAAATGATCTTTAGATTGATGTTTGCATCTTATTGCCTAATCTAATAGGTTGGCTATTATTTCTTGTGCAAGATGAAAATTTTGGTTTCAATGAAATACCTAGTTTAATGTACTTAGCCTTGTTTCATTTTTTTTTAACAAATGTTTTGCTATGGAGGAATGAATAATTATTTGAAATTGAATAAAGTTTCCCATCATGAATATATAAATGAAAAAATGGGAAACAAATGCAAATATTGTAGTTTTGTCTGTTGCAAATCATTCTTGCACAAAATTATAAATTTTGGGGTTTATGAGTAGAGAATTATTGTGGTTAGTTGCCAATATCTATAAACATGATATATTAAAAATAAATAGAAGAATAAAAGTCTTGTGTATGTCACTCAAGTGTGTTGAAAGTTACTTATAAATGTTCAATTATAATGTGTCACGTCTATATGTTTCTTCATGTGCAAGTTAGTGTCCATGGTAGTTTCATGCTCTGAACCTGGACTAATGTCCACCTAGAAAATGTGTAATTGTCATGTAATAAATCTGCATTTAAAATTAAATTTACACCTATTGTTATCATATCACTTTTAAATGTATATTGACATTTTTACAATATGTGTAGAATATTTTAATTTTTCATTTACCTAAACATGTCCTGAGCATTTGCCTGAAGAAATGATAGCACTTGTTAAGTTGTTGATTGTTGTGGCAGGTGATGATTGGGTTTTGCAAAGGTGCTTGGATGCACAGCTGGCGAATTATGGTCTTCTCTTCCAGCTTCTTGTTCATTAGCTGTGCCATACCTGCCTACCGAGGAAAACACAGTATCTTTGAGTGAGTAATTCCTTCTGCATAGATCCTAGTAATTTTTTTTTTACTTTCGTATCTCACACTATCTTAGATTTGGTACACACTTCATTCTGCATACATCTATTTTCATCCAAGTATCATTCTGCCATTATACTTCATTATTATTATACATTATTCATGTATACTCTGCCAATGTGGGGTAGCAGAAAATACATAATCCTCCTTTACAAATTCAAAAATCTGCAACATAGCTTTTGCTTGTCACCTTTATATGTGGGTTTTCTAGATTTTGGCTTTGTAATATTTTATGAATCGAGACTCAAGTGAAAATATTGTTTTAATTGTTCCTTGCAACGAATATTTAGACACATTGAATGATCTTTTCAGCTTAACAGCTGGATCTGCGATGGCTGGGATGTTGTACAAGTTCAAGCACGGACCCAAGCCAATGGTCGCAGGTGCCCTGTTGGGGGCTTTGCTGGGCACCCAAGCCTCCCTCCTTGCTGCTGGGCTGCTATCATTGGCAGGTCTGTCGTGTTATATTGGGGTTGTTCATGTCATATTATGACTGTTTGGGGAAACTTTGAAATGATGAGACCCATGATGTTTTTAGGGGTTTTGAAATGCTCTTTTCTGTTGTAATTATATATGACAATTATCAATTATATTTTTGGGAATTATTCAGAAATAAAATAATGCAAATTAAGAACTAGGAAGCCATTTATCTCGGTAAACATCAAGATATACTACGAAATGATATCTCTGTTCTAATTTATTGATACTGAATTTGTAAGAAATGCCTGAGAAGAATAACAGTAATAATAATAACAAATTGGCATTTCATCTTTGTATTCGTTACATGATTAAAATCTATTTGCACCGTTGATACCTCAGGCCTGACGTTGGATGACATCTACGATATGAAGCGCCAGGCTACCATACGTTCCCTGCAGGCGCGACATCAGCGCATAGAAAAGCTGCGCGAGGACAAACTGACGTCTCCATCCGACATTAAATCCTGATGATAAGCTTAATTTCCAGTGTTTTAAGTGGATCCAACTACCATGAAAGGTTCAATATTGGGTAACTCATTCCTAATAAATGAAAGAGGAAAAAAGCTTTCTGGAAAGTTACTATTTTTTTTTCTGGGATGTCAAACCTCTGATCTGTTAGTAGGATGTTACAACGTTTGACTTGTTCAAAGTGTCTCTTGCATTCTAGTTTCGTGGCTCTTTAAAAGTCATTGAGAATAAAACTTGCAAAGAGCATCTTTGTTCATCTTTGATGGTGTATTTGCGTTCGGCGAGCGTTTCCAATGATTGCTTGAAAAAATTCATGGGCATCGTGAAAATTGGCTCGACCCTGAGCTAGATTCGATAGCGACTCGAAATCCAAGAAACCAAGCATTTAAATTTCGACTATTACCATACTCATGATAACTAATGAAAACGTGAAAGAAATGAGTGCATTCCTGTGATGTCAAGTTTTGATTCCGTTACGGTTGAAGTCAATGTACATTTGTAATTTACGGTTGGTAATGTTATTAATCTTATTTTATTTGTTTTCTTCTCCCATCATCTGATGAAGTATTCATATATGCAAGATGTCAGATCTCAGATAACAATTCATCGTGTAGATCCGTTAACCGAGCAATGCAAGTGAAAGGCTAATGAAGTCCTAGAAGTAAGTAATCAATATATATTTTGTGCCATGTGTAGATATTAAATTATGTACGATCATCTATACCTGCTGGGGTTTAACCCACAACGTAAATGAAATAGTACATTTTACTTGCTGAACGCCATTCTTCGAGGAGATAATCTAGTGGACGCGAAGAAAACACGCAACTAAGAGGTCACTAAACTTCCTGATATTCATATTTCATGTGCACGAAAGACTTACATTAATTTCAATATATAACACAGTGCCTCATTACGACACACCCAACGCAACAGAAAACAATGACAAACACAAGGCAAAACCGCAACAAGCGCAATTGTGCACGAACATTTAAGGAACTAAAAGCAGAGAACGAACAGCCGCCATGCATTATATTAAATATGTAACGTGAACGAAGTAGAAAAGATGCACACACTTAATTACCTAAAATATCTATGAGTAAAAAAATAACTTCATGTATAATAACTCTTGAAAATGTTCACCTCATGCCGGCTCAATTGTGTCAGTTTGGAACTTACTTCAAGGCGTTTTGACAAATGTCCCAAGTACTAAAACTGAGAATGATGCTGTAACGCCATCCTTGAGACCAAACTTTAGCATCTATCTAGAAAGGAATTCAGAGACTAGAGTTAATCTGGCGCAAAATAGCTTGGTTGGCATGACGACATATTCGAATGGGAAGGACTCTGTAGAGAGCAAAGATGTGGCGGGCGTCAGTTGATGCAAAGTATCTACAGGAAGACAAATATTTGTGTCAAGGCTTTCTTGTCCGACTTGAATACGAAAAACACATATGAATGTGTAGTCATATTTTTAAGCAACTAATATATTATCCTGGCAGCTGGCAAGAACAGTTTTCTTTCAAAGTACAAGTTAGCACTATTTTACCGTAAAGAAAACTTGTTTTACATAAGAAATTCCACATACAGATCCAATATTCAGTTAAAACTAAATTTTGAAGTGATGAAGGACAAGGACGCTTACAACCCAAATAAACCAATGACTAATATACCGACAATTACTACCATTTTCCCGGTAGGTTGCATCAAAAAAGTTTGCGAAGAAGTTCAAAGAAGTTTGCTACTAGGCCTAATGCTCAGAATACTATCCGAATCTGCCCAGGAAAATCAACGGCCATCCTTAGTTCTATTCGACAGGATGCCCCAATTGAACCCAGTAAATTAAAAATTTTGCATGGTGTCTGCCAATCAAACTTATGCAATGCCAATCCGTTGATGAACTCATGTCATGATTTTTGTGTTGTGAGAACCCGTTTTTGAGCGCAGCCTTCTTCATAGTCTGTTTATTTTTCTTTCTTCTCTTCAGTTTCCGGTTCCAAGTTTCCCTCTTGACTGAACTCATCAGAGCTTTGGGCATCCTTATCGAGTTGCGCGCGCTCTGCATACGTAATGGAGTCGTCGAAGACCTCTATGTCTTCGTCAGCAGCGTCGACGCGGTGACGTTCTGCGTCAGATGAGCTGCTTTCGCTCATCATCACTCCGGAGTCGTGGTCTTTTCTGTCAATATTCTGCAACGCATACATGAATGTGTAGACCATTAATGTTACGTATACCAATAGTCGCCAAACATGATTTTGATTTCATCACACTTAATTTCATCACTCACACTAATCAATTTCACACTGAATGTCATCACTGCAATGACTGCATGATTTTAATTTCTACTTACTGGCACGCAGTAGTTAATTGTAATGCTAATACGGTCATTGAAGCAACTTTCATGATCATAAACCCAAAAGACAACGTACTATCTAAAATATTGGAGATGAATTTTCCAGAAGTAAATATCACCTCAGGAAAAGTCGATAGATGGTCAAGACATGGTTGGTACATATAGAATTAAATCGCTGAGTAAAAATATCACAAATAAAAAATAATCGCATGACTCACAGGAATTTGCGGTTTGTCATGTCCTTGCAAAGAAGTTTCCTCGGCGGTGACCTCAGGCTTCCTGCTGAAGGATGCAGCTCTGGCAGCGGGAGTGCGGCGCTCATTCAGCTCAGGGCTCCTGAAATGCGTTTATGGCAATCAAGACTAAAGCAATCGCATGGGAGAATATAATTTCAGTATTTGGAGATGCATAATTCATGTTAGTTCATATTTTTTCTATTCATGTTAGTTCATATTTTTGTCTTTAACTCATTTATATGTACCTCTTAGTTCTTCAATAAAATTTTCTATATTGTCCAGAATCAGAGAATGAAGATAGGCTAATTTGTTGGAGGAAATACACGCTTTTCAAATCGGCAACAAACACAAGGAAGCAAGCATAAACCTAGAAATGTCCAACAAAGATGCAGCGTCGCTTGCCGTGGCTCATGTACTTGTCAACGCACCTGAAAGAGACGCGGCGCCGCTTGCTGTGGTTCATGTACTTGTCAACGCACCTGAAAGAGACGCGGCGTCGCTTGCTGTGGTTCATGTACTTGTCAAGGCGCGTGAAGCGATACTTGAGCTTGAAGCGCTCCTTGATTTTCTGCGGGATGGTGGCGGCCGTCGTGAGGCTGTTGCCCAGGAACAGCACTAGGAACAGCATGCTCAGCGTACCCACCTGCGCCCACGTAATGCTTATTTGTAAACAATGTAAAGGATTATCAATTAATTGCGACTCTTGATACCAAAATAGTGAAGAAGACCAAAACATATACGGTAGTAACAGATCTTTACGGGAATATTATCTATAGGTACTGGAACTATAGTGTCTTAACATGGATAATACCTATATGAGCAAGTCTTTACAAGAATACTAGCTTTAGGGACAAGTCTTAACATAGATATCACCTGCTCAGTCTTGACAATTAACAAGAGGTTATCAATGAACTGGATGAAACGGTGTGGGGACCGTAAGTCCAATATTGTACGCACATGCCAGTCAGCCGATGGATGACTCGCAAGGTAGTAGAGGGTGTAGGCGTGGTAGAACTCCCACGCATATCCAATAAAGAGAAAGGGCAAGAGGAAGCTCAAGCCTCGCCACATCCACGACTGGAAGCCCTCGACGGTGATGTCCATGTTGTGGCTCTGCCCCAGGCACTTGAGGCGATACAGGCAGCCTCGTTGGTACATGAACTGCAGGTACTGCACAAAACCTGCAACGTACCAGATGAGTTTGTAGCTCAGTCATCCAATCACTGACAACTTTTCAAGCTAAATACACCAATCAGACGAGTGAATATAGGACACTACTTGTACATGGGCCACACGAATACATAGCCTGCATGGGTACATAGGCCGCAACATGTACTTCAGCTACTTTTGATGGTACGGCCCTGGTTCTTCTACAACAAAGGAACCATTTGAAGTAAACCCACACTAAATTTCTCCTCCACCCGGAATGATTCTCGAAAATAATAATAGGGAAATTTGAGTTATACCAGAAGAAAGTTGGTGTTAAATGAACAAAAAATTTTATCACTATACCGTGATCGTGATGTCTTTTTTTACTGGGCGACTTTTATGCACGTAAATTCATCCATTTTTCATTGCTTTCACACGAAAGACTATTGCAAATTCAAAATAATGAGATTAGTTGAATTTTTCACAAACAGAGGCAAAAGAACGCTCTTTTGTTAGTTATCGTCATTTCTTCACGGACTTGATTTCAAGTTCATCTGTATGAAGAGACTTCATTAGTTTCCATTAATGTCATAGCAATTTCTATGTCCTATCATTTTAAAAATTAAAATCAGACGACATTATATCGCAAGTGTTTTAGCTGGAGTCACTCAATGGAGGTGGCTTGTCCAAGACCAACACTGTCCACCGCTGTCAAGGTCCCTTCCTCCAATAACGTGGCTTCCAAAAGTTCTGGTCTGTCACATTTTCTTCCACACGTCAAACAACCGTCCTGAAGGCGTAGTAACACTACTCACTGATATACACATTGAAGGCCATGAACTGCGTCCTGAAGGCGTAGTAACACTACTCACTGATGTACACATTGAAGGCCATAAACTGCGTCCTGAAGGCGTAGTAACACTACTCACTGATGTACACATTGAAGGCCATAAACTGCGTCCTGAAGGCGTAGTAACATACGTTGAAGGCCATGAACTGCGTCCTGAAGGCGTAGTAACACTACTCACTGATATACACGTTGAAGGCCATGAACTGCGTCCTGAAGGCGTAGTAACACTCGCCCACAGGCCAGATCAACATCACCCCTGCCAGCACCGTGGAGATGAAGTGGTGAGCGCGCCACCAGCCCTTCATTCGCGACCCGTTCACCTGTCATGGCAAAATAATTATTCAACAATAGTGACATCATAATCATTAACCTGTCGTGGCATCATAATCATCCTACTATTGTGACATTATAATAATTTATATAGCTGTTGCGGTATGATAATAAATCGCCTGTGGCATCGTCATAGTTCTTTACCTCTCGTATAACTAACGAACCGTCATTCAACTATTACGGCATAATAATCGTTCATTTGTGGCATTATTAAAATCATTCACGAGTTGTGGAAAATAAATTTGTAAAAATTCTTGAATATAATTTCCTTTCCTCTGTTGCTGTTTCCATAAAAAATCAATGCACGCTGATTTAAACAATCTACACAGATTCAACCATCTAGATCCTGCAATATACAATATTCAAGTTGCGTCATTGTTAGCAATAGAACTAATGTTGCATTGGTTAACACATTGAGGCAATAACACATGGCTCACGACCTTTTAATCAAAAGAAATAACCTCTTATAATCAGATTGAATGTATTCGAGTGAATATTTGAAACGAACCTACTGGTTTGATGTTTAAGTAGAACAAAATATTTTTTCATTCAAACATCTTCCTTACTAAGCTCATTGCTCCAGGCAAGATTTGATTATGATCACAGAGAAAAAAAATATAACTCAGTACGGTACCGGGTACTCACTGCAGTGACTGACAGAGAGCGCATTTTCTCGTCGACGAAAACGTGGTCACGGACGGACAGACAGACCGACCGACAGACGGACATGGCGAGCACAATAGTGCATTTTTTCCATAAATGAGAAAATGCGCTAAAAATGACAAAAAAAATTGCTTATGAAACTCTCGATGTCTAATTTGTCCTTTGAGCCGCTTCTTTATTTCATTCTTATTTTTGACATAGTTACACTGATGGCTCGAAGAAAAACCCCACATTAAAAAAGCTCTGATGAGAGCTTGACAAGATACCTTGAGGATGCTCTCCCTGATGGTGAGAGTGCAGTAATACCACACAAGCAGGAACATATGCACCACATCCATCGTCCTGGAAACAATAGAAATTTTTCAATCAAGTATACTACTTGACTCTTTTGTTACTTTCATTTGCTGGGAGCAGTGATTATATTTGTGGATCAATTTGACCATATAAATGATTTCTTATATTTGAAATGTAGTGATCATTGGCGCCTTCCAGAGCCTCATGTTCTGCAAAATGCCGTTAAACAACAGAGAAATAGAAACATTTCAAAATAGTTTAGAAAAGAGTACTTGAGCTTTCAAATGCAAATTTCATGAATATTTTTACATTCAAAAGTTCCTCATAAGGCCCTTGTCTATACAAATCAGATCATCCAATAGACACCCAACCAATTAGAGAAAAATTATATATACTACAGAGAGAATAGAGAATAACTAGTGAATTATTACCTGACATTTGTGAGGCAGTTGAACAGCGAGATAAACAGCGCCAAGAGACTCATAACAAGTTTGAACTTCTCATATTCATCCTTGTAGCGGAATCTGGGCCACAAATAAATTGGCTTAAATAAATATGCAAAAAAATTTACAGATGTGACTAATAGCTCACCAGCAGCAGTAAATAATTAATTATAAATCGAACTAAAAGCTAATAAACTTTTTTTTAATTTTTGATATGCCTATCCAGAAAAATTACTATCCTAAACTCATTTCTATGGTATTATTAGTGCATTTTCTCATTTACGGAAAAAATGCATTATTGCGCTCGCCATGTCCGTCCATCTGTGTGTCTGTTTGTCCGTCCGTCCGTCCGTCCATGACTTCACGTTTTTGTTGACAAGAAAATACGCGATGTCACTCACTGCAGTGACTACTGAGTTATATTATTTTACAGTACCGTCAACTATGATGACTTTGGCCACCACTACAACAGAAACAAATGGCAGCAAAACAAAATACTAAACCTTGGCTAAAGTCTGCTGGGATTGGGGTGGCCAAAGTCACCCCAGTCACTTTGGCCAACTTCTATTATTTTGATTTGCTGTCATTTGTTTCTGTTGTAGTGGTGGCCAAAGTCACCCCCAGTGGCCGAAGTCACCCCAGTTGATGGTCGTGAACTCATTCCAATGGCAAATTCATACAAGCACAGGGCAAAGTCTAAAATGATCACACTCATCACCATCAACATAAGATGCACCAAGCAAATAAAACAGTAAATATTGTGTGAAGAACCAAGTTTCATTTACCACCTCAAGAAATTATATATAATACATATAAAATATCATAAAAATCTAATATACGGTATTGAGAATTCTTTCAAAGTTACAGGGACTACCTTCAACAATTGTAGATGAATATGCTAACTAATCAAGGACTGCTGGGCTGGGACAAAATAAAAAAAATATATTAGGAAACTATATAAGCTCACTTTTCATTTTTATCTAATATTGACACATTGATTCCTCCGAGTATAATTTTTAGGTATCGTCCACTTGGCTTAGGGAGAATGTTCTCCATCTCATAGAGCTGTGCTTTGCGGCGGATCAAGTCAGTCTGCAGGAGGGCATTTCTTTCACTGTCACCTTGGCTGCTCTCAGACATATTTTTTTCCAACCTGGAAAAAACAAACAATGAAATGCAAACATGCATATATAGAAGTGTGTAAATAGGAAAAGGACATTTGAATTAAAAAAATTATTATCATGAGGTCAAATGATTTCAATTCATACCAAATCTTGTTGTAAATTTGGCACATGAGTGGTCAGTTAAACAATACCCTATTGAACATTTAAAAAATTTGGCACTTATGCCTAATTAGAATAATGATAAAAATAGCCATACTATTTGGGAAATTAATAAAACACTAGAATGTCTTAAAAGTTGGTTTCATTTTGACCTACATAAAATCTCAAGTTTTGCTTAAGTTATTCAAGCTTTCAGCTATTCTCTTCATGTTCAAGATTTGAAAAAATACCTTCTTAAAGAGTTTTTGATTATGTTAAGTCTGTAGCGTTGGTGGGAAATTCCTTTGGTACATTTTTGCTGCAAACTGTTGACTTCTTCAAGTTTGGCATGGTAAAGCTGGTGCAATTTCTGAAAATACAGATTGCATTATAAATGATAACATTTGCAAACCATACAAAAAGCAACAATTTAAATGAAAAAATTAGTTTTATTAAACAAGCCCATGCTGTAAAACTATTATTCTATAATCTATATTATTCACTTATCTTTGGTATCACTCAACAAAACACAAATAAATAAAGGAAGATTATAAATAATCAAGATCTCATATTGTCATTGACATAATTTAAGATCCCTTTGTTATTTTTCAGATATGGGTAGCCTAAATTAGGCCAGGGTGCAGGAAGTGGATGAATATCAAAAGATCCTTGGTGATGCATCAGCAGCAAAATTTACGCCTTCAAAAGATCTTGCCAAAGCATTTGGATTGAAATTATTGCATTTTAGAAATTACTCTGAAATTATTGCAATTATTGAAAATCTGGAAGACCGCAAGAGCACACAGTAAGGTTTCCGGTACATCGGGTGGATCAGGATGCAGTAAGCTTGTCTGGAAATCAGTTGCGATGATGCACTGCGTGGAGAGTAAGGGATAGTATACTATCAAAGTTGTTGGCAGCATTTTCTCTTTAAAATTACCCGGCGACACATCTTGAAAATGGCTGGCAAAACTTTGGACTAAAATTTCATATATTGGCAATGCGGCTTGCCCCCTCTGCATCCTGGAAATTAAGCAGTCAGTTAAGCATGGAGATGAGCAGAAAAAGACTATCATGCACCTCGTGTGTCACAAGGAGAAAAATTGAACAGAAACCACAGGTGAATGAGACAAACATCAGTTCTAAAAATCAATTTCACACATTCCTATATGCAAGCATGAATATATCTACTTGGTGAGCCGTGACTAGATTTTTTGAGCTGTGGTTTTATGGGTTTGCCAGCTGCGATTAAATTTCTTTGAGCCATGATTCTATTTCTTTGTGCAGTGAATTCTATATTTCAGTCATGCAAAGCAATTTATGAGCCACAAACTTATTCAAAAGTCCCATGCATGCATTACCCAAAATCTCTAATTTTACCCTAAAAAGTCCTCAAACAGCAATACTAACATTTGTCTTCACTTTAGACTTGAGTGGCAACTGAACACATGATACTGCAATCTGACCGCTCTGACATGACGGCAACTAAGCAATATTCACAGAAACATTTTGGATGTTGAAACATGTTTGCAAAGTGCAAAACATAATTTTTCAATCAAACAAAAATACATCACATTAGAGCCACAAGATTTCATATTTACTGAAATTATATAATATTAAAGACACAATATTTAAGAAAAAATAGGACTTTTCGAGCCATGTTCCTATGGCCCTTGACTCATTTTTTTAGCATACCTAAGTACTAAAGAAAAACATTTTTTCCTGCAATTTTCAAAAATCACTCATGACAACAATTATAACCATCTATATTTTATATGCATATTGCAGGCAAAAAGAAAATTTGAAGCCTGCAGGTAAATACAGCTTTCAGCTATTTTTGAAAATTTTTGCCTGACATTCCAAATTGGAGGGAGTCTCTCACCTAGGGTAAACGCGGTATATTCCGACATTGTGGGTAATTCCAACACTTTGACTTTTTTCCTTTACATTAAGCTTTTTCTTAGTTCCATGCATTCATTGACAGTTGAAATAGTGACATCATACTTTTGCGCGCCATACTATTGCCAAAACACTAGGTCTGTGCCATCTAGCTGGAAAATGTTGAGATCCAAAGAGAGACAGTGTGCGTCACCCAGTGAGAACATCGAAAAATGTGTCAAAGTTGATAGTTGACCTTGCTCTACCAAATAGTGATAAACTGTTTGTGTAGAAATAATATTATGGTTTGAGACTATTAAATAAATACATCTGTAAATATATTAGGAATCCTTCAAGTATACTTGTATTTGCGGATTTCAAGTGGTAAAAAAATTAATAGAAGATTAAGTTAAGAGATGGGTTTAGACACATAAAAACTAATTCCACCACAGCTTAGAATTAGACACACACAGCTTGTTCCAAGCTGTGTGCAAAAATTAAAATTTTCTTAATTAAAAGCCTAATTAAGTAGTGTTCAATATTAAATACTGACAATAGTGTTCTAATTCCAAGCTGTGTCGTATTCCAATACAGCTCACAGTCTCACACAGCAATCGGAATTTGAACACAAGAGTGTCGGCATTACAAATTAGTAGAGTTTGAAGCCTGGCCAGAATTAGTCTCACAAAATGCCAAATTCAGTCACACAGTGTCAGAATATATGGATTTGGTTTTGGTAGGTTTGCATTCTAAAGGCTTTTAAATAAATATGGCAACATTTTGTGACCTTTCATTGTTGGCTTTGTTGCTGGCGCGCCATGGTCAGGAAGATGTGCCAGGTGCGCGGGAATTTATTTTGTCATTTTAACGACCTGCGCGGTGCGCCGTACTATGCCGGTAAAAAAAATGCGCCGTGCGCTGTACTTTAAGAAAGCTAAAATAGTTTAAATATGGACGCGCGGCAACGCAATTTACGCAATTACACTGACCGTACACTGTATACACAAACGTGTATCCGCATTGTGTTGTGGTTGGATATGAGTTAACTAGATTGCTAACGCGTCAACTCAGTTTCTAAGTGTCAGCACAGTTATGAATATTCATTCATAGATCACAATTCAATCAGACATGAATTACAAAACTAAAGAAGGCAACATGGCTTTAGATGTGCCATCGGTGCCTTCTAATGAATGACTGGAGTCTGGACTGGTTGCGCTGTTGCGGCAAGTAAGGTATGAACCTGTATGTCAACAGTACGAACCTGCATGCCATTGCTGGGACTACATTCCCGAGTCCCGACATCCTCCCGGCCGGCAAAATTGACATGATCAATACCTAATAACAATGCACGTAAATGGACTATACAAATTAGGTCAATACGGCATAATTACAGAGCGTAATTAAACTATGTGATACAAAATATGAATATATATATTTGCAAGTCAATGGTCTGTCGTTTATTTTTGCTTCATTAGAGCAATTATGGTTTCCAAATCTGGGTGCGTTATGTTATGTCATGTGTACTTTGAATGTGCAAAAATTATAACCATCATATGAAAATTGTTACGTAGGTTATGATTGCATAAATTGCCATAGAGTATCAAGATTGCAGTTCTGCTACCACCCTTCATTGAATTATTCCGCCTTTTTTCTAAAATTCAATAATCTCACTTCCAGCAAAGTTTGCGAAATTCATTAGCTGCATAAAATACTCTCTGCTGTGGTGTTCGATTCCGGTACGTTTCAGACAAATTTATGGCCGGACTTGCGGCCGCTCTCGAAATTCAGTGCACCTGGAATATCTCCCAAAGTACTGAACGTAGCTCGATGAAACTTGGTTATACGGATATACAGAGAAATGACCGGCATTTCTCAGGCCGATTTTTGAACTTGCATTGACCAAGAGCCATATACGTAAAGCCGTATAACTCGCAAACGAAGGCAAAATAAAAAAATTTTCACAAGCTAAACATCACCATTGGGAGGTTAGGTTTCTATATGCAAAGTTTTGTTCGAATCTGTTCAGTATTTTAGAAGAAATCTCTGGTACACTGCAAATTTAAGCACTATTTTGCTGTTTAAATCACGAATGAGGGAAGAGAGAAAAATACTCGCTAACGAAGGCAAAACGTAAAAAAATTTCACAAGTTAAACATCACCGTTTAGTATTCAGAAATTCATATTCAAAATTTCATTCAGATCTGTTCAGTGCTCTGGAAGAAATGGCCGGTACACTGCAAATGTCGGCACGTTTCATCATATAACTCACGAATGAAGGCGATATTAAAAAAATTGTCATGAGCTTGACATNGCTTAATTAAAAGCCTAATAGCTGTTAATTAAAACGTAATTAAGTAGTGTTCAATATTCGTTAGTGTTCTAATTCAAAGCCGTGTTGTATCCCAATACAGCTCACACAGCAAACGGAATTCGAACACGTGGATGTTGGCAATACGTATCACTTAAATTTGAAGCGCAGACGCAATACGACTCACCACGTGTTGAACATTGCCACACAAAGTGAAGGAATATAGGGATTTGGTAGGTTTCCATTCTAAAGGCTTTTTAATAAATATGGCAACATTTTGTGACCTTTCATCGTTGCTGACGCCGTGACGCGTAGTGAAGTGTTTTGAGAGTCATGTGAAGGCAACAGAACTTACGTAATGCATGCGTTTTTTTTATAGTTTTTCATTTCTTGATGTGTCCCTAATGTGTCGGAATATACCGCGTTTACCCTAAATTCTGTCCAATATTCCAAATTGGCCACAAGCTTGACTACTAGGCAATAATGCATATACAGCAATCCCTTGATTAACGCGGTTAATAAATCCCCGAGTTTTACTGCGTTAAGCAAAACCGCGCTAATCAAACTTAAGAATATATGGGAATAATTATAATGAATCCTCAAAAATAGCAAAGTTTGATAAAATGTTATGTAGTTTGATAAAATTGAGCAGTAGATATTGCAGCGATCTTGACCAGTTGAATGAAGGCTAACGAGTAACTAGAGCACCGGCATGGCGCACTTACCAGCGAACGTTGCCGAACTCAACCATTCGAGTTATGAACAAGACAAGGTGCGGTTAAACCGACTCTGTAGTCAGCACGAGTGCCTACGGAACGGGACCTTATTTAAATAATTATTGGCTGAAATTCATAAAGTAACAACATTTGGCAAATTTTTCCAAAAGTTGTAACAAAAGTAACAACATAAGATCTAATAAGCAAAAAGTAACACTTTTGTTACAAACGTAACACCATAGTGGCAAACCAGAGCTTTTTTAGAATCAGTTCATTTTTAATTTCCTCATTTACTCAAGATTTAAACCAATTTCTTTTGTATGATAATGCTGGTATCCAGGATACTTTATTGGTCTACTTATAGGACTCAAAAATGAACTTGAGGGAGAGTCTAAAAAACTCTCTGCTTTGCCAGTTTTGCCACTATGCGTAACACCTCTGGCTAGAGGCGGGAAAATGATGCGTTGTGAAAAAAAAGTCGCACTGATCAAAACTGGCACCGCGTAGATTAAGGGTAGGTCGTAAATTTTTTAGCCGCGTTAATCAAAACCATGGTATTCAAAATCGTGCTAATCAAGGCAGGCTGGAATTCTAAAATTTGTGGTTCACATAAAAAAAACATTCCGTCTTAAAAAAAAACGTTCCAGGCAACTAGAAACAGGTTTGCAGGCCATCAGAAATCGGCTTCGGTTACGGTAGCTATGATCGTATGAACGTCAAGTCAGGCAACACAGAGAAGGTCCCATGCAAGATTGTTAATTGCGCGCGTTACTCACAGTCTCACAGATGAGCATGAGGGATGGATCTACAGAAGGAAATACTATTTACTCGCAACATAATAGTTTCGAATTAAATATAAAAAAACATTTATGGCACCTATTTGTTACCTCAGCTTTCAAATTGAGGAGACACTCATCGGCAGTTGGAGAAACTTCTCGAAGAAAAGGTGAGATACTATTACAACGACTCTTATGCCACACTATGAAACCTGGACATTTTTTGCGGGAACTCATCGCAACTGATTTCCGGACAAGCTTCGCTGCATCGTAATCCATCCAACATACCGGAAACCTTACTTTTTTTCTAAATAGTTGGCTGAAGACTGAGAAATATATTAAATGCAAGAATTTCAATCTAAATGTGTCGGCAAGATCTTCTGAAGGCGAAAATTTTGCCGATAATGCGTTGCCGTAGGTCTTTAAATCTTCGATCACTCTCTGCACAGTGGCCACACCCCACGGCCAGTGTAGCTGTCAGCTCACCTTCTTCAGAAGTGTGAAAGCTTTTGCCGGTGAAGGTGTGTTTTATGATCGGTCCATAAAGAAGTGTTGATCGGTTCAAAATGACATAAGAACAGGTTATTTTGAATAACCTATGGATTGGCACCATGATCGACTGAAAGTGGAAGTGTGCTGGACATTCCAGATTTTTGGGTCCTGCTTTCCAATTTGCTATGTTTACCAGTTAATATATTACCCCTCTGCATAGTGGCAAACCACAGCTTTTTTAGAATCAGTTCATTTTCAATTTCCTCATTTACCCAAGATTTAAACCAATTTCTTAAGTATGATGATGCTAGTATCCAGGATACTTTACTGGTCTACTTATAGGACTCAAAAATGAACTTGAGGGAGAGTCTAAACTCTAAAAAACTCTCTGCTTTGCCACTATGCCCCTCTGGTCTCTGGATTTCCACACTGAATTTATCAAGGGATTGCTGTAGCTGTACTGGTCTGATTTTTCACTTGATCTTGATTGACAGATGGCTCATGAATAGGCTAACATGCCATGGTAAGTTGGTAACTAAAAAACTTTTTTGGTCATGCTAGAACATACTAGGCTTTTTTACTAGCCTACTAGTGGATAAATATTGTTAACAAAATAAATTGTTTCTTTTGAATACCAGCAACATTGCAACAACATACGCTGACTGTGGCTGACAACTGACATGCCTGTGGTAAGTGCAGTCGCAGTGACATCTGAAAAATTTCACAATTTAGGTACACCTACACCAAAGGCAAAATACTATCTTACCTCTAAAGATCTATACTCGTTACTGAGTGCCTCCCATTCTTCCATACAGGAGTTGATACTATTATGCTCCATCTTCCCCAATTATTAATATAAGCTCGGACTATACATTTAACTAAAAAAAAGTATTTCCTAGTCGGCTAGTCCTACGGGGCTACGAGCTACGCCAGCATAGGCCATAAATGCACGATCGTTATCCAGTAGCACACGAAGCCGGAATATGGCCGGAGAATAAGTGCCCTTTAAAACTTGGACGCGGACAAAAATGAAATGTGTGAACCAAATGACGCAGTGAAAACACAAAATAACTTATCAATGATATGTTCTGATATTTTTCGAGCTTGATCTCAAAATCGGCTGAAATAAATTTATATATATTTTGGCTTATGATAACCTTGCCTCTGATCTACGATCACCGATTACATGCCACCTATATCGTCACCAAGGTCACATTCCAAAAAAGTAATATAATATATATAGTTGCACGATCACTGTTTACTTGCATGAATGGTTAAGACTTAACTTAATAATAATCTAAAGGCTCGAAGGAACCAACACTTACAAACAATCTACCGTAAATGTTAAAACTTAATGATTTTTATATACTCAACATTTCATAATTATTTATAGTGTGTAAACTTGTTAGTATGTAGAGTATAGTGTAGTATCTTCGGCATTGAAGAATAGGCCTGTCGCCGATTCTTGTACTCTTCTTGACTAGACTGGCCTTTTGATAAAAATCTTTTAAATGGACGGTAAGTTTAAAATCGCTTCAAGATTTCAGTTGTTCCGTAGGATACGAGGCATTTCAAGACTAAACACATGCTCCTGCATGGCCTTCTCTAGTCTGTCCTTAAACGCGTTCATACTCGGAGAGTTAACAATATCTTCAGGGAGGCTATTCCACACCATGGTTCCACATGTCGGTGACTCGAAGCGAGAAGAAATGTTGTCGCGTGGATAAGTTGCACCGCAGTTTTTTTAGTTTATAGCTGTGGTCCCTGGTGTTGGTTCTTGTTTTAAATTCTAGTAATCCTTCTGGGGCCTTGGACAAACCATGACTCACTCACTCACTCACTCCGTCACTCACTCACCGTATATAAAATATTCATTTTACATAACTTTATAACTGCATTACGCAAAAACTATTGCATGTACATCCATGGTAGTAGCTTTGTTAAACGCGTCTTGTTTGTAGCTTTCAAACGAGTGCAAACACTTTGCAATTAACCTAAATAATGACATATAAATACCATTTATTTTTAAATAATGATATAAAATGATCATTTTATAAAAGTTCAAGACTGCATTACACAAAAATGTATTGCATGTACATCTATGGTAGTAGCTTTGTTGAACGCGTCTCGTTTGTAGCTTTCAAACGAGTGCAAACACTTTGTAATTAACGAGAGTAATGATCTATATATACAGATTTTTTTCAAATAAATCTTTGTACATATTGTTAAAAAATGTTCATGTATATATTTTTAAAATTGTCTTACGCAAAAATTATAGCACGCACAGACATGCGCTAAACTGCGTTAGACGCGCCTTTTCAGCAGCTACAAAATGAGTCAAGAAAACGGTAAAGCCAAAATTTCCGATTTTTAGGGTAGCCGGTCTCCTTAATAGTATTAAATATTATTTAAAAACCAGCATGACACATACATAATATAAATTACAGAATAAAACTGTACGAATGATTTCGGTGTAATGTTGTCAACCTCAGCCTGTTACTAGTGTCAACATGTTAGTTGTTACCTGTTAAGTTGTTACCAGTTACCACTTACAGGTTTATTCATCTTTCAGTTTGCTTACAGTTATTTTTACACAGTTAATTTAATGTTTCACCTTCCCTACATGGATGTCTACCTGTCTCTTATACACATCTAGATGTGTATAAGAGACAGATCTAACCCTGGGTTAACCCATACTAGTTCGGTTAGGTTAATTGCAATAAAGTTGCATTGATATGTTTTAAAAATGTTTTATTATCATTAAATGTTAACGAGTAAATCCCAATAGCAAAACAATAAATATTAAGAGATTTTAAATAATTTTGGCCATTGTAGCGGCTAATGTAGCGCGCTACATTTTACTGTAGCTGTAGCGGTAGCGCCCGTTACAATCTAGTGGATGTAGCGGTAGCGGTAGAGCCCGCTACATTTAGAGCATGTAGCGGTAGCGGTAGCGGCGCTACATTTCAAAGTAGCGCTGCCCAGCTCTGAGTACATGAGTATACTTTTATACTTCAATGAGGTCACCGATACCTTCAATGAGGCCACGATAACGGAGACTGGGATGCTTCATTATCTTCAATCTTTCTTAATAAGACTTGCCCTTTAACCCAGTAATTACCCTTGTGGCACGTCTTTGAACACTCTTCACTAAATTTTGTCTTTTTTCAAGTCTCGGTGACAACAAAACGTTTCCAAACTCTAGATTCGGGTGCACGACAGAGGTGAATAACAGCTTCATCATTTCTACATCTATAGGTACTCGCAGGAGCGTCTGATCAGCCCAAGCAGTTTATTGGATTTATTTACTTGCGTTTCAATATGCCTAGAAAAATTTAGCTCCTTGTCGACACAAACTCCAAGAACTTTTTCCACGCAAGACTTCTCAATCATAACCCTCTCGTTGCAACCATGTCTTCTCATGCTGTAAGCTTGCTGTTCATTGTTCTTGTCGAGGTAAAGTACTTCACACTTGTCAGCATTGAAACGCAGCTGCCTCGCATCGGCCCAGTCAACTGAACTAAACTGTTTATCTGCATTCCCACAATACGAATGGCCTACGCTACCATTTGCTACCGGATCGTTCAGAAATTGAAAAGTGCTGTACATATAATGTACTCTGTACATTATTTTAATAAGTTAACTTTGAAATTTTAATTAGATCAAAATAATATTAAATTTTTTATGACTATTTGATTTTTTACAGAATTTATTCTATCTCTATATCTAAATTGGAATATGATTCTTTGAATATTCGTTATTTGTATTTGAATATGACAAGGTTAAACATTAGATACCCAAGTACACGCATCGGCCCAAATTCAAGTTGCGCCCAAATTCGCGTCTGTGGAAGGTTGGTTTAGCCATGGTTGAACTATACAAGGTTGACCCACGGGAATTCTTTTCCTTGTATGCACGTGAATCCTTTTTTCTTGCACGGGAATTCTTTTTTCTTCGTTGCCCACGTCTTTCAGTTCATCTCTCTTGTTGCGTCACTGAGATCAAGAAACGTAAACAAACCCGTCATTCCCATGACGGATTGGTTGACTGGTTTGATTGCATTTCAGTGAATGGTTAAAGCCCGTGACGTCACTGAGATCAGTGACGTCACGAGCGAGCTTCTCATGGGTTAAACTTATGCTAGTTCAACCATGGGTTTAGCTTGAAAACGGCCAGAGATTGGCCAATGGAGTCACAAACTTACAACTAATTTTGATGGAGCTGCCCCTTCATTCATGCCTTCTTAACGGCATCACAATTCTCACTTTTTACTAAAAAAATTTATCAAGAACAACGCTTGAAGGAGCATCACAGTTAAAAAAATTTTCGTGCAATCTTGAACGAATCATTTTTTAGAAGGTAAAGCGAGGCATACAAGCATATACGAAATTGAATGCAGGTAAATGCAATATGTACGTAGTGAAAGCTTTATACATTTTTTAACTCGTCGTTGGTTCTTGTACCTTAAGATATTTTTAGAAAAGACCGTTGCTTGTGTCACCTTGGTAACTAACAATTTAATTTGAATCCTCAAACAGTGTTGGATATGAATTTTTCGCTAAAAAACTGCAAAAAATTAAATGATGATGTCGTGCCAACTTTCCCGAGAGTACGGAAATAGCGTTGTCATTTCTCGAAAAATATTAAATTTTGTCGTGTGTGTTATAAAAAATTTGGGCAGTCAAACTAATGACCGAATATTGGCAGATAAAACTCGTCATATCGTCCCAACTGCCAGTCAAAAATAAAACTTTTGATTTGTATTTCCTTAATCCACTCGTTTGGAAACTCTAGTTGTATTTTTAATCGTGGTGGGATTTTTCGTTTGGTCTCGCATCACCATAAAGGCCTTGATCTAGAAGTTAAAATCTATTTTTTTGTCAATCTGTAATATTTTTCAATATTCGGTACATGATTTTAAAATTTAGAGACTGAAATGGTCACTTTGTATAGTATATTTCGCTGTATATTTTCAGACGATCATTCTCCACAGAAAAATATTTTACAAACACGAGGCAATGCTGTTAACAACGAAGCAACACGCTAGACATTAATATAATATATTTAATTAACATTGTAATGATAAAGTGCCCAATACTGTTGATTATTTGTATTCTATATTAAATGGTGTGCAGCAAGAAAGCAACTGATGTAAAATATGAAATAAACCCATTCGTAATAACTTATAATGTTGATGAACCAAAGAAGATTAAAATCGTACCGGTGTGGTGATGATACTAAAAAGAAAAACTTAAACTCCACCACACCAATGGTCCAGGTCAAAATCTAAATTCCTTTTTGTTTTAGTTGAACATTTTTAATACCAAAAACATTTTCGCGCTAATTAATTTTTCCAATCAGTGAATCAGAGATTGAACCAGCGATTGCCGTTGTAGGTCAAGCCTCTGGCAAAATATTTGACTCTAAAGTATGATGATATTCTATCAGTCCAGCTTGTTAAAAGCGCTCCAATCTCGACTCTGACACGATAATCCAGTGGAAATAAATCATATTTCTTCATCTCTCGCTCCAAACAATTCATAAAAAGTGAGCACCCAAATGTCAACTAATGTCTTATTCTAATAAGTTTAAGCATGACAATCAGGAGCGTTGTATTTAATTCACGTTGAATTTAATTAACTGCGTTGCAGTTAATTCTCACATGCGCTTCAATTTGTAATATATTCTTTGAACAAATTATGCTGCGCTATGATCACCCTTCACGCATTACTTGGGACAGCTTTCGTAAAATGTTCGATAAAAATTTGATTCGACATTTGAAGTTCCATTGGCATAAGCCTTTGGATTTGGATCATGAGTTATATATATTGTGTTAGATATTTTTTGACGATATTAATGTGACAAAAGAAGCTATAAGTAGGCGCTCTTGCCGTGTGCTCTTCAGGCAAAACGCAGGTGCCTTCGTGGAGTGCAGGTGCGAAGGTTTGTATGAACTGAATTTTTCGGGCCAATCTCGAAA